GAAGAAGAGGAAGAAGAAGAAAAAGAAGAAGAAGAAGAAAATTAAGAAAAGGGAAAAAAAGAAAAAAAGAAGAAGAAGGAGAACAAGAAGAAGAAGAAGAAGAAGGATGAGGAGGAGGAGGAGGGGGAGGGGGAGAAGAAGTAGAAGTAGAATTAGTAGTTACCTGTGACAACACCCAAACACTGTCTCTGACCACTCACCTCGAAACAAGAAGAAACTGTACACGTGAAATGACCTGTATGTGTTTACCAGACCAGTAAAGTTTGGGTGGATGACTTCACCCTGGGGCCCTTTTCTTTCCCAGGAAGAGCTGACCAGCTGAGATCGGAACTTTAAAATCAGAGAGAAGATGTCCTGAATGATCTTCATCACCTTCTCAGCTTTCTTGTCTAACAGGCACCTGAGTGAGTTAGCAGAATATTTATAAAGCATACGTGGGCAGAATGTATTAAAAGAATATGTCTGCAGAATGTATTCAACCAAGAGTCCCATGAAGCCGCAACGCCTGAACATACGGCTGGGTACAATTCACTGTAAATGTCACTTTTGTTACTTGTCTAGGGTGTGATGTATTCACAGGACACACAGTTAATGATACTGGCTGAGTTCACACCTGTGCAAACCTTCAGTAGGTCAGAAAAAAAATACAGTTACTAGAAAAAGCGAAGTTAACGAAAAATTTTCCTGTATGCCTCAGTGATAGTGCTGACAGCACTGGTATTGTGATACATTTTTTGTTTTAAAGACAGAGGTGTCATATTTGAATGTTGAATTATAAATCAACATCACAGCACCCGGGACACTCCCATAAGTACTCTGCCCCCCATATTCAGCAGCAAGCGAAGAGTTCTAATTCCGATGGTGCCAGTAACCGTCTGATTGTATATCCCTCTCATCCTTCCCCTGAGTGTTGAGTGTCGTCCAGATCCCCTTAAACTCCTCGCAGCGTCATTCTCCTTAAACTGCAATGATCTATTATTCATTATTTTATTAATATATTATATATTATATATTAATATATTATATATTATAAGCCTTGCTTATGACAGGAACTTGCATCTCCCCACAACGCTAAGCGGCATACGTGGAAGGAAAAAGTAAAGTATTAGACATTATTTTTCTGGCCATACTATAAGAAGATTAAAGGTGGGATATGTTGTGACAATTGGAAATACATAAAGAAAGAGGGATAGAAAACAACAAGTGACGATTCTTCACAGCCTCTTGTCAGCAGACAAACATGCTGTTTTAGATCTAAAAATGTGGAGAAGCTTATGCTTCCACACTACTTGGTCTCAAAGGGCCTTGAGCACATCTACATTGTCAAGCATCAAATCGCCACCAAATGGTGGCAGAACCAGCCAATCTGCCTGCCTGTTCGTTTCCCAATAAATCAGAAAGCTTCTCCTTTTTTTTTCTTCCTCTGTCCCTTATTCCCTAATGGAGCATAGGCCCTCAACCAATTCACTCCATAGTCATCCTATTCTTTACTATGGCCTACACCTCGAGACAACTAATTAGGGATGTTTCCTCTGAAGTCAGAGTGCATCTGCTTGAGAAGCAAGAGACCAACAGGCTGCATAGGGATATGCCAGATCTGTAAAATAGATGTGCACGCACAACTCAAGTTCTAGAACAGTACCAAAGTCCAGAAGTGGACAAACAACCAGAACTTTCTGCAGTAGTTTACAGCTGGTGAACGCTAAGAAGAAGACAAGAAGATAATCTACTATAAAAGAAATGGAATAACAGTGACAACAACAAGGCTCACCTAGAGACAGCTCTGTTGACATACTGCTCATGAAGGGACTGCAGCTGATCGAGGCCAGCTATTGGCTGGGACAGAGCTGTTTGAAACTCCTGCCAGGAGACCAGGATAACCTGGTTAGTGATGTAGCCTTGCATCATCTTGACAAAGTGCTCCATCTCTTGCCTAAATAATAACATAGAAAGTAGGCTGTCAACAAACTTATAGTAAAGTTACAGCTTACAACATGTTATTGCAATGGAATTGCATACTAGCTTAAGTAAAATGGCTCACATGCAACTCTTATGATAGAATATTTACACAGAAACACACTGACATTGTTAGAGAATACACAATGGCTTTAATGCAACTATAATAAGCAACAGACGGTCGACCTCAGAGGTGGCTTGTGTTATCATGCCCACGATAACCTGCCGGAAAGCTTTAAAATCATCATCCTCACTTTAGCCTTATGGTTGTTAATAAACCAAACCACAACCTCTGATACAAGCCCTTTCCTGAGCTCCTGTAATGCACACTTGACCGCTGTGTGTCTGCACAGCACTAGACAATGTGCGTGGACAGACCAAGTCACTGGGCTATTTTTGCCTTGGTGCAACACTACAAAACTGCTCCTTTCTTCTTGTAGTAATCCCAAAAAACAATGTTGTTACAGGCATAAAATGTGCTAGTGCTTTCAATGATTCAGAAAATATCTCAATAATGCTATCAGACAATAATATTAATCATTCTAGCATTATCGGACATAATTTCTGACTAGTACCAGTGAAAGTATATTAGCAGCACGGCATTGGATAGCATTATTTATCTGTCCGTCAATACTAAAACTACAACACAGTCAAACTTTGTGAACACATATAAAAACTATCATAAACTTACTGACTAAGGTGTTAACAAATTCCACGAATCAATAAGTCAAACAACTAATCTACCGTCACTAACATTAAACATCTAAATGTCATAAAATACAATGTCATGCCATGACAAATACAACTGTCATTCCGTCCCATTATCCAACAACTGTCCATCACAAGGGTCAGCAAGCCAGGTTTTTTCATCGTTAGCAGTCATTCCTCACACACACAAAAAGCACTCAAACTTTATGGCCTGCCAGCTTGACTTGCCTTTCTGTCCCACATCCGTCCGTGTATAAAGAACTCCAGTCACCTAGCGTCTGTCAATTAGCCACTATCATCAGACACACATACACATAGCCACACAAACCAAAACAGTTACGACTGGTAAACTTACAACTCAAAGCAATGTTTCCCCATTATGAATTTGAACAAAGACATACATGACAGATTTATTGCCTGGCACATTTTGCTATATTTCATCAGTTACTAGAGTAACAACTGATTCTTTTGTCCATATTCTGCTTTGTGCCGCTAGACGTCACAGGTTAACAGATGATCGGTGTCCAAACTAGGGCTGCCTGGTAGCATACTGTGATGTTGTGGAGTCTCAAGGTATTAGTGACTCCTTCAATCCATCTTCTTCTTGGTAGTCACCTACCTCTTGGTGTTTCTACTTTTATTTATGCTGTGAGCTCTCGCTGGTATCAGTGAATTCATTTTCGTTAATTGATTGAAAGCCTATATCGGCAAAAGGCTGTCCAAAATCTTCTTGCATTGTCTTCCTCTGCCCTTTTCTTTTTACCTCATATCTTTCCAGTAATCACATGTTCCAGTTTCCTTCTTCTCAAATGATTTTAAAATGTTTAATGTCTCTTTTTGATACTTGTGATAAGTTGTCTTTGAGCCCTCATCTCTTTCCAAACACTTGGGTTTCTCTTTTCGACTGTCCAAGGAATTCTGAGAATTCTTCTGTAAAACCATATTTCCAAGGCATCAAGAAATTGATTGACTTGTTTATTAATTGTCCAAGATTCACAGCCATTTCTTAAAACTGGCTCTTCTCAGCACGAAAGAATTATTTTCCTAACCATGTGTCTAGATATTTACAAGTCTTATACTTGTTCTGATATAAAAAATGTAGTTGTGTATCCTTTACAGGATGTTGCAGAACCAACCACAACATATCTGGACTGTTTGAGTTTTCTAGCACCCCGGCATTATGTAGCACGTTCCCAATGCCTAAACCACAGATACCGACATACCAGCTATTAACCAAAGAGTATAATGGATTCAGAAAAGGAAAAAATAATGACATATCAAGAGAAACTGCCTCATGAAAAGTATAGCTTCTCTTAACTGAAGTACTCTGACCAACCTGAACACCATAATGGTTTGGATGGAACAGTAACAGGGGGTATGGTTTAGGGAGGAAGAGCCAGAGAATGACAACAGCACAGTGGCGAGGCATGATCAATTTGCATGAGTATGCATTAGCAGGTAATGATTACACTGAGGCGGGTAACAAGTGATATTTCCCTCCTTGCTGCTTCACTGTTGACAGAATGCTTGTGCAGTTAGCATCACAGCTGGCAACAAAGTGCTGATAACTGGTAGTTTTCCCACGTTACAGTTTCTTTATCAACGGCAAAAGCATGCAGTCAGCATTTGTTTCGCTATGTTAACACTCTTAACAAGTGGGACATGCTCTGTAAGTCGTAAACGAGTGGAGTATTTGTAATAAATAGAAAACTGTGATAATAAACAGCAAAATAATGCATTTTTCTTCTGCAGTAAAAGGATTCTTTTCTACGCCTTTCAGGCTCACTGGGTATATAGGGCTACACCCATATTTTACAGACCAAACGGTACTTGGTGTGTGATGCGCTCAGCATCACGCCGGCTTTACTTCCCAGGACTGTACTTGGCATCTGGGAGTCAAGGTCATTTTTGAAAAAAGTCCAGCCTCTGTCAGGAACTGAACCCATGACCTTCCAATCCGCAGGCGAGCGTCTAGCCACTAGACCACGGTTGCTTCCTTTCTTTTGTGGTGGAAAGTGTAAATAGAGATTACAGCCCTTACATGCATCCCTCACCACAGCTACAGTATGACAGCGGACACAGCACATCAAGAACATCCAAGGCATGAAGGGTTCATGAGATGAGTAAGTTGGTAGGAAAAACATGGGCCTTAAACCAACTCATGCCGGGGTGTCCTATATTTTTTTGACAATCATGCTGTCTTCCCTATCTTTTCCAACTTCACTCTTTAGTTCCCTTCTCCATATGTATTTTGATCTGATTTACTTTATTCCTTCGACCCTGCGAAAAATGCAGACAGGATTATTGATTATGCAAATAAGCTTATATCAACGTACCGATGCAACTGGAGGTGTCGGAACTGTGCAGAATTTCCAGCCTTGTTGATTACAGCTGTGAAAGATCAGAGATCACTTAACAAATTAACTTTACATTCAGAAAACTACAGGTAATTTGTTTATCACTGTCATAATTACTAAAAAGGCATAGTAATATAAAAAATAAACAAGGTCCCTCTTTGTCCGCTTGAGAAAAGTTTTAAAAAAAGGTACAAAAGTACAACACACTCCTAAGATATGTTCTGTCTATCTATATGTCAGTCCGTTTATCTATCTTCATGTCTGTCTGTCCTGAAATAACATGCTTTATACTGATAAAAATACAAGTGAAGTCTGAAAGATGAGTGTCTGGAAGGGCTGCATATAAGACGGCTCTGAGTGCCCAGTCTGTGACCTTTTGAAACTAAAGTTCATTCATTTATTTGTTCAAACAAACGGGATACACAGATGTATCATGATCAAGGTTCAGACAGTTACGATCTATCTACACTACTAGATTCAGCGGTAGAAACAGATTCCCTAATGCGGACTTGGCCGATGTAGATGCAAGTGAAATTTCCTTTAGAGTCAGTGCACATCTGTCTATCAAGTGGAGAATCAATAGTCTGCACACAACAGTTCACGACCTACTGACATCTCTACATTGGCCCTGTGTAGGTTTAGGGGCCCCATTGTGAGAAAAACAAGAATAGACCCATTGCCTACCCAAAAGCATGTCATAGCAGTCAACTAACTGGGAGCTTCCTTTGTAGCATCTGCCTAAGACAGGAAGCAGCAGTCTGCATACAGATAATCCTGATCTGTTAAGTGGATGTACACACAGGTTCTGGAACAAGACTAAAAAAGAACTAAGGTTGAAGAATAACCAGAATTTTCAGCTGGAGTTTACAACCAGTGAACGGGTAGAAGATCTGTACATGGTCATCCCAGACTCTAATGGGACCTGGCCGATGCAGATGCAAGTAAAATTTACTTTGACGTCAGTGCACACATCTACCTAACAGGTGAAGAACCAACAGTCTGCATACAATAGGTCACGACCTATTGTCACCTCTCCATGATCATCCTAGAAATAGGGTCCCTAATGGGACCTGACCAATGAAGATGCAAGTAATATTTCCTTTAATGTCAGTGCACATCTGCCTAACAGGTGAAGAACCAACAATCTGCATACAACAGCTCACAACCTACTTTTGCCACTACATATTCATCCTAGAAACAGGTTCCCTAATGGGAACCTGGCCAATGTAGATCATCATCATCATCCTGTAACACTATGTGTGATTGGGTCCCCAGCTTCTGTTGACTGTCTGGTCAGCTCTCTCCACCTTTGGCGGTCAGTTGCGATGGACTTCATGGATGCATGCTTGAGGCCTGTCCAGTCAGTCAGTTTCTGTAATCAGGTCTTTCTTTCTCTGCCTCTTCTCTTTCCCTCTACTGAGCCCTGCAGTATTGTTTTTGAGAGGCCGTTAGATCGCATTACATGTCCATACCATTGCATTTTTCACCTTTTTACAGTAGTTAAAAGAGGTTCATAATTGCCAATGTGCTGTATAATTTTATGGCACACCTCTTCGTTTGTAATGTGGCCTCTGTATGATATGCCAAACATTTATCTGAAACATCACATTTCTAATGCTTGTATCTTTCTTTCAAGTTCAGCTGTTAAGGTCTAATGTAGACAGGAGTGATATTTTCTTTAAAGTCAGTGCACATCAGCATAACTGGATGTGTATGCTACCATCGAATTCTCAAACAAAATCAAAGTTCCAAGACGGCCAGCCAGTACTTCACATCAGAGTTCACAACCAGTGAACACAGGGGGAAAAAAAAGCTAAAATTCAAAGAAATAGTGATACACTGGTGGTGATTACTGTCAGTACCATCTCTCTTGAGTCTGTGCCAGATATCTTTCAGTGTCCAAACAACCCTCTTGATCTGCAGCAGGAATGTGAACACTAGACAGTATTTCTTCATGGAAGCACTGGTCAGGACTACGTTGAGTGGCCAGCTTACCTATAATGCAATGATGTAGCATTATTATAACATTCTAAACTGTAAAATGTTGGATAGTTTGGTTATTACATACAAAGTACAAAGTAAAGGTAAAGGACCCTGTTCAACGCCTTTAGGCGTATATGGCATATAGGGCTAGACCAATCAGCACAAGATGGGTGATGTGGTCAGCATCCTGCCGGTTGCCTTTACTTCCCATGACTGCACCGGGTACCCACTCAGGGCTGGGTCGACCAGGGAGCCAAAATCATTTTTGAAAAAAGTCCCGCTTCTTACTACAAATGGCATACTTTAAAATGTTGGGTATTTTAGACACTACAAATACCTCACATTACAATTTGGGATAGTTTAGTCAATACAAAAACCACTTTAGATTTTTTTAATAGTTTAGTCATTACCAATACTACACTTTAAAATTGTGGATATTTTAGTAGTCACAATACCACCACTGCATAATTTAGTCATTACATACATATCATACTTCAAAATATTGGATAGCTTAGTCACTGCAAAAAAAAAAAAAAATGCCCTTTTAAAGTTAGATAGTTTAGTTAGTAAAAAGAGAAACATTTTAAAATGTTGGATAGTTTAGTTTAGTAAAAAGAGAAACATTTTAAAATGTTGGATAGTTTAGTTTAGTAAAAAGAGAAACATTTTAAAATGTTGGATAGTTTAGTTAGTAAAAAGAGAAACATTTTAAAATGTAGGATAGTTTAGTTAGTAAAAAGAGAAACATTTTAAAATGTTGGATAGTTTAGTTAGTAAAAAGAGAAACATTTTAAAATGTTGGATAGTTTAGTTAGTAAAAAGAGAAACATTTTAAAATGTTGGATAGTTTAGTTAGTAAAAAGAGAAACATTTTAAAATGTTGGATAGTTTAGTCATTTCAAATGACACCAATGGATAGTCTTGACATTATAAATATCACATTTTAAGATATTGGATATCTTAGTCATTACAAAAACAAAGACACAAAAAAAACTTTAAAAAAATTGGGCCGTTTTGTTACCCAAAAAAAAAAAAAATGAGTATAGTTTTGCCATAATTAAATTAAAAAAAAAAAAAAAAACCCACAATTATAAATGTTGGACAGTTTGGTCATTATAAATACCACACTTTGCAGTTTGGTTATTACAAATATCAAGAGCCTCTGAAAAGAGGAACGGTGGAGGAGAGAGTTCCCTTACAAGTTCTGTTACTTTTTCTAACACACACACACATACTTTCTCTGACACACACACATATATGTATATATATATATATATATATATATATATACATACAACATTTCATCTCAGCTCCATCTCTCATTCTCATACATATACACACAAACAAACACATTTTCTCTATTTCTTATATTCACATACTTTCTCTTTCTAGTTCTGAGAGAAAGAGAGAGAGAGAGAGAGAGGGATAGAGAGAGAGAGAGAGGGATAGAGAGAGATAGAGAGAGAGGGATAGAGAGAGAGGGATAGAGAGAGATATAGAGAGAGAAAGAGAGATGGAGAGAGATAGAGAGAGAGGGAGATGATCGAACGGCCTCTGTAGCCAAGTGGTCAAGCCATTTGCCTCGTGTTATAAAGGTCTTGGATTCATTTTACAGCTGTATTGTTCGGCTGATGAGTGGAAATATTATGGAAATGTCTGGAAACTGTTGCTACAGCTACAGAGTTTGTACTTTATGTGACAGACCAAGCTATAATGGATAAAACTTGGTGCAATAAAGTCGATCTTCTTAACTTTAACCTTTGACTTGTATACACACAAATATATCCCCCCCCCCCCCCCTTTTCTCTCATACTAACATACTTTTTCTTTCTATCTCTCTCATAACCATACATACTTATTTCTCCAATTCTTTACTTACATATACACACTTTCTCTCTCTCTCATGCACAAACACAGATACACAGACAAATATAGCACACACTTACATTGTATATCAGCTGGAGGCAATTTAAAGAGTTTGGAGCTGCAAAATTAAAACAATTTTTTTTTAATCATAATTATTTACTTTCACATCAAACTTTACTCAACCATAAACCAAATGATAATTATAAATGTGTACTCACAGTTTTGTTTTATATATATATATATATATATATATATATATATATATATATATATATATATATATATATATATATATATATATATATATATATTTGCTAAAACTGAAACTCATAACAGTGATTTCTCGTTGTCAATTTTAATAATGCAGATACATACAAAACATTGCAGCTCTCCATTGGCTAGAGAACAAGATGAATACATATGTAGTAACTGTAAGAGACTCTGACGGCATGCTGAGAAAGGTGAAGACAGGGATGCTTCAAGCAGAGTGGCAAGCTTCACTGGGAAGGTCACAGGTAGTGAGCATACTGTAGATCTTTTCTCCAGGCCAAGCCGGCGTGGTGGGTAATGAACAGGCAGACAGATTGGCTGAGTCTGCACCATAGGGTGGTGAACTGATACAAGACAAGGCAAATGTGGTCAAGGCCCTTTGGGAACAAGCAACGGAATGAGTAGAGACAGAAGATTATTATGGCCTGGAAAGAATGAGGCATCTGGGTGTAACCAGAGGGTCTGGCCGGTTCCTTACACTCAGAGAAAAGCCAAGATGAAAATATAACCAGATTGTGACCGGTACCATTAGTATTGGAACTCTGCACTGGCTGCTGAAGATGATAACGGAGCATGCATGTGAATGCCCCAAGTGCAGTGATGTCTATTCTTGACTCAACTCAACAAAACATTGCTCATTTTAGTACTTGACAAATGTTACTCTAACTTATCATGTGCATCAGTACAAAGTGACATCAATAAATTTCGTTGACACTACATCAAAGTCAGCTAAATGCTAAATCCTTGTTTCAAGAAAATTGTGTTTCACTATTTGAGTGGCAAATGAAAATCGTGTAGTTGCAGGAAAGGTAATACAGTAGAACATTGATTATCTAGCTCTCAGTTATTTGGACTCCATATTATCCAGCCTAGTTTTCCCCCCAAAAAGACCTGGGTAAGGAAATAAGGAATAGCTTACTTTGCAAAGCATTTTTTTTTCAGCAAAATCAACATGTTTACATCAGGTTATCACTCATCTGTCAGACCAGTTGATAAATACTTACAAGGTGGCTTGTACATAAACTTTAGGGTGGCTTGTACAAAAACTTCAATGTTGCTTGTGTTTAAACTTCAAAGCGGCTTGCATACAAACTTCAAGGTAGCTTGTGTATAAACTTCAAGGTGGCTTGTGCACAAACTTCAAGGTGGCTTGTGTACAAACTTCAAGGTGGCTTGTGTACAAACTTCAAAGTGGCTTTTGTATAAAATTTAAGATGACTGGTAAATAAATTTCAAGGTGGCTTGTGTATAAACTTTAAGATGGCTTGTAGATAAACTTCAAGGTGGCTTATCTATAAACTTCAGTGTGTCTTGTACATAAACTAGTGCATACACCTCAAGGTGGCTTACATATAAACTTCAAGGCAGCTTGTGCAGAAATTTGTAATTAGTAAAATTTCACAAATAAAAAAGTTTCTTACCATTTGGAAGAAAAACTGATGGCACATCTTTTAGGACAAAACTTAGATTCTCGGCGTTGGCATCATTAGAATGAATGGAAGATCTGACAGCTTTATTTAAGGCACCATTCAAGAACATTGGGTTCAGTATGTCTCGTGGCTTGGGACTCTTCAACATCTGGAAACATGTTCGAATATTATGTTTTATGAAATGTAACAACAAGAAACAGTTTTTTTTTTTTTATCACGAACTAGCCTGCACAGTAAAAGTTCCTCCTTTCTCTGCTATTCATGCCACGGAAGATTGCAGGGCCTATCCTATTTTGTGGGGGTGTTATGAAATGGCTTCGTTCAGCATTCGCTTGCCATATACAATGCTTGTGGGAGGTTGTGTTGTCGTGAGTCTCTTTGAGGCACCACAGGTGCTTGTGTACAAGTAAGAAGTTATGAGAGCCCGAAAGGATGGCACTGATTACTGACTGTAATGTATGCATGAACAAACTGAGTGCCAAATCAAGGCAAACATGAAGTTTGTGCAGTCTGGCCGAAGCATGCAAAGCAACAACAACAAAACGCAAAAGCATGAGAAGAGCTCGGAAGTGCATAAGGAAAAGATAGAAGTTATTAAAGCTGTGAGTGAATTAGGGAGCACAGTCCTGTTGTCAGTAAAGTGAGAACCGGGTCATGTAGTTCTCGAAATAAGTAAAGTGAGCGTTTCCTGAGATCGTGTGAATGTGATCAAGCTGCTAGCCTGGGTCACTAAAAAAACCTGGCTAATTACCTACTGGCGCATTTCCATCTTTCCAGGCGACAGTGTTACACCGCCCCATGAGGAGGCATGGGACACACAGCCCATGGTGATGGCGAGTGTGACTAGCAAGACCTGCTCATGATAAGAAAAGTCTTCCACTGTTACAGCATAGGATTTCAGGACCGCAGTTGTCAACATTTGTGATTACTCTGTTTCTTCTCAGACTCTCAGCTCTCATCCTTACTGCAATAATTTCTTCCTTTATTCTCAGTCCCTTACTGATGTGCCCACTCCACACAACAGGACAATGGCATTTTGTTCCCACGATTCCATTCAATCTTGCACACTTTATATCACAGTAGAGGTCAGCCTCGACATCTTCTGCCCGTGTTTGTGATCTTCTCCTGCCACTTAATGCCAAGTATTCTTTTTAGGTATTGCATGGGAAAGCTATTTAGCTATTTCTCCTGGTGCGCAGAAGCTCACCACATTTCACTGCCATAAAGCAAAGTGCTGAGAACACCAGCCTCATAGAAAAGAGCTTTTGTTTTAGTCATGAGCTTTCTATTCTCCTAAAGTCTTTTTGTTAATCTGCTCATTATTGTTCCTGCCTTACCGATCCTGATGTTGATTTCTTAGTCCAGCTCTAGCTCTGCTTTCATCAAGTCTAAGTAAAGGGCTCTCTGTGGTGCAACAGATACTGCCAGTGGGATATAAATGGTTAGTTCTTCACATATTTTAGACCAGTGGTTCCCAAACTTGTTTGAGTCGTGACCCTATTTTAGAGAAGCATAGTTATCCGCGAATAATTTTATAGAAGCGTAGCGACCCATTACCACGTTCATCAACTGCGGTATTTTTAATAGGGTATATGGGGTAGGGGGAAGAGATCAATAAGAAAGAAAAAAGAAATAGCAGCAGAAAGAAGGGGCGGGGAAGGGGAAGGACAAAGATGAAATGGGAAGAAAAAACCAGCACTTTAAATACAGAGCAGGGATATTTTTTGAAAGTAGCCAAGAAACAGTTTTATTTCACTGCAAGATAAAAGACCAGTTGTCTTATATACACAGGAAAGCTCATTAGCAGAATATCAACACCTGACATTTTCTCACCTTCTCTAGTAAAATATTTGAAAGAATTTCAGCAAAATCCCCATCAGCCATCAGCAGGTAGCGCCGAATGGCTTCAAAGTGGCTGTCCACCCTCAGCTCAGATGTGAAGTAGTTGACCAAAGCAGAGTTCATCAATGAAATTCTGTCAACAAAAAATTCATAGCAGAAATGACTATCCACTACCATGGCTGACGCTGGCATAATGCTGACCACATCACCCGTCTTGTGCCGATTGGTCTATAAAAATATAGGTCTAGCCCTATACGCCTAAAGATGTGGAAGAGGGTCCTTTACTTTTTTTTTTTAACTTGCCATGGTTAATGGGTGGGGGTTCCATTCATGATGTTGAAATAACTGTATAGGTTAAATGGATGCAATAATAATCTTCACCATTAATATTTACACAACTGAAAATCTACACAACTGAATGTCCATTATCCATGTCCATAGAGGTAAATGTCCTACATCAATATCTACTATCGATATCCATAAAAAAAGAGTATCCACTATCAATATCCACAAAAGTGAATGTCCAACATCACTCTCCAGACAGGTGAACATCCACCATCAATCTCCAGACAGGTGGACAGGTGAATGTCCAACATCAATCTCCAGACAGGTAAACGTCCACCATTAGTCTCTAGACAGGTGAATGTCCACCAACAATCTCCAGACAGGTGAATGTCCACCATCAATCTCCAGACAGGTGAACATCCACCATCAATCTCCAGACAGGTGAACATCCACCATCAATCTCCACACACTTGAATGTCCAAACATGTGAAAGTCTATCATCAGTTCCCACACAAATATAATATCCACCATTAGTTTAAAAAACATGAATGAGCACCACAAATGCCCAAACAAGTGGATTCTTCCACCCACATTTCTATTTTCCATATATTTACAAGGCATATATATTTTAAAGTTTTCTGAGATTAGCTGGTGTCATTTAAAATGGTAGGGGCGTCAGACCATTATACAGCTTAGGGCCTCATCAAGTATAAATCTAGGCCGGCCCGTATGTTTCTATTTTACCACATATAAAACTGCCATTACTGCTTGAATACTTCTGGGGTGTCAGCTGGGGAGGGAGATCTTTGAGCCCTAAGTTTTAGGGTCACATGGCTAGTGCTCTCTCCATGGACTGTGCAGATTAGGATTTTATTTTTGCCCCTGATAGAAAAAAATCCCCCAACCTTACCAAGGATTTGAACCTTAACCATTCGACCAGCCACTCCTGTATACCACATACCAAAACTAAATAATCTAAACTTTCTACATAATTTTTTAATGGGATCGTATACTGTACGCTGAGGAGTGAATGACCGAGCTGTTAGAATGCTTCACTCTCCAGCTGAAAACCTAAGTTCAAATTCTCTGTGAGATAATAAATATTTTTTTCTGAAGAGGGCAGAGAAAAACAATAACTTGCAAATTTGGCGTCGAATGCATTAGTATTGGGCCCTGAATTTGCATGCTTAGGGACACCCCACAAATGACTGCAGAAAGGATGAGAGCTGAGCGTCTGAAACGAAACACACTAAATATAAATGCTGACAACAATCCTGAAATCCCATGATATAACTGTGGAAGACATTTCTTAATGCGGGTGGGTCTTGCTATTAACACTCGCCATCACCATGGGTTTAAGTCCCATGGCTTCGCATGCCACAATATAACACTATCATCTGGAAAGGTGCCAATAAGAAACTCCATATACGCCCCCCCCCCCCCCCCCCACCCAACATTGTTCTTCTTTCTTCTGCCTTTCTAGCCCCCAATGGAGCATAGGCCCTCAACAAACTCACGCCAAGTCGTTCTATCTTTTGCTATCACATGTAATTCTCCCCCATGTCCTCCCTATCTTTCTAACTTCATTCTCCAGCTCTCTTCTTCATGTGTTTTTTGACCTTCCTTTATTACTATGCCCCTGTGGGTTCCAATGCAAAGACACTGTTCAACACCACACAAATTATGCGACTACTTTCGACTAGCCTCTTCACTTACTGGGCCCTGACTGGTGCCATTATGGACCGAGTCAGCAGGACTGACAGCGGAGTGTACTTGTATGCTTCGACCTTCTCCTCATTTGAGACGACAGCATCCACCAGGTCCCGTCCAAGGTCTGCTATAGAGATGTGAGACATCACGTCCAAAAATGGTTCACTATCTGTAAGGACAACAGCACAGAGAAATATAACATCAGTCTGTGGTTTTACATAAGTGATCAGCTCTGAAAATACCAACAACCTATACTCCATGGTATACATCTAATCCCTAAGTATGCAAGATATCTACTTAGTGGTGTTATCTACTCCCTAAGTAAGTTAGAGATCTAACTAGTGGTGTAATCTGCTCCCTAAGTAAGTAAGAGATCTAACTAGTGGTGTAATATACTCCCTAAGTAAGTATCAGATCTAACTAGTGGTGTTATCTACTCCCTAAGTAAGTATGAGATCTAACTAGTGGTGTAATCTACTCCCTAAGTAAATAAGAGATCTAACTAGTGGTGTAATCTACTCCCTAAGTAAGTATCAGATCTAACTAGTGGTGTTATCTACTCCCTAAGTAAGCATGAGATCTAACTAGTGGTGTAATCTACTCCCTAAGTAAGTAAGAGATCTAACTAGTGGTGTAATCTACTCCCTAAGTAAGTATGAGATCTAACTAGTGGTGTTATCTACTCCCTAAGTAAGTAAGAGATCTAACTAGTGGTGTAATCTACTCCCTAAGTAAGTAAGAGATCTAACTAGTGGTGTAATCTACTCCCTAAGTAAGTAAGAGATCTAACTAGTGGTGTAATCTACTCCCTAAGTAAGTATCAGATCTAACTAGTGGTGTAATCTACTCCCTAAGTAAGTAAGAGATCTAACTGGTGGTGTAATCTACTCCCTAAGTAAGTATGAGATCTAACTAGTGGTGTAATCTACTCCCTAAGTAAGTAAGAGATCTAACTGGTGGTGTAATCTACTCCCCAAGTAAGAGATCTTATTAGGGATGTAATCTACTCCCTAAGTAAGTAAGAGATCTAACTAGTGGTGTAATCTACTCCCTAAGTAAATATGAGATCTAACTAGTGGTGTAATCTACTCCCTAAGTAAGTAAGAGATCTAACTGGTGGTGTAATCTACTCCCCAAGTAAGAGATCTTATTAGGGATGTAATCTACTCCCTAAGTAAGTAAGAGATCTAACTAGTGGTGTAATCTACTCCCTAAGTAAGTATGAGATCTAACTAGTGGTGTAATCTACTCCCTAAGTAAGTAAGAGATCTAACTGGTGGTGTAATCTACTCCCCAAGTAAGAGATCTTATTAGGGATGTAATCTACTCCCTAAGTAAGTAAGAGATCTAACTAGTGGTGTAATCTACTCCCTAAGTAAGTATGAGATCTAACTAGTGGTGTAATCTACTCCCTAAGCAAGTAAGAGATCTAACTGGTGGTGTAATCTACTCCCCAAGTAAGAGACCTTATTAGGGATGTAATCTACTCCCTAAGTAAGTAAGAGATCTAACTAGTGGTGTAATCTACTCCCTAAGTAAGTAAGAGATCTAACTAGTGGTGTAATCTACTCCCCAAGTAAGAGATCTTATTAGGGATGTAATCTACTCCCTAAGTAAGAAAGAGATCTAACTAGTGGTGTAATCTACTCCCTAAGTAAGTAAGAGATCTAACTAGTGGTGTAATCTACTCCCTAAGTAAGTATGAGATCTAACTGGTGGTGTAATCTACTCCCCAAGTAAGAGATCTTATTAGGGATGTAATCTACTCCCTAAGTAAGTAAGAGATCTAACTAGTGGTGTAATCTACTCCCTAAGTAAGTATGAGATCTAACTAGTGGTGTAATCTACTCCCTAAGTAAGTAAGAGATCTAACTGGTGGTGTAATCTACTCCCCAAGTAAGAGATCTTATTAGGGATGTAATCTACTCCCTAAGTAAGTAAGAGATCTAACTAGTGGTGTAATCTACTCCCTAAGTAAGTAAGAGATCTAACTAGTGGTGTAATCTACTCCCTAAGTAAGTAAGAGATCTAACTAGTGGTGTAATCTACTCCCTAAGTAAATAAGAGATCTAACTAGTGGTGTTATCTACTCCCTAAGTAAGTAAGAGATCTAACTAGTGGTGTAATCTACTCCCTAAGTAAATAAGAGATCTAACTAGTGGTGTTATCTACTCCCTAAGTAAGTAAGAGATCTAACTAGTGGTGTAATCTACTCCCTAAGTAAGTAAGAGATCTAACTAGTGGTGTAATCTACTCCCTAAGTAAGTAAGAGATCTAACTAGTGGTGTAATCTACTCCCTAAGTAAGTAAGAGATCTAACTGGTGGTGTAATCTACTCCCCAAGTAAGAGATCTTATTAGGGATGTAATCTACTCCCTAAGTAAGAGATCTTATTAGGGATGTAATCTACTCCCTAAGTAACGAAGATTTCTATTTAGTAGTGTACACATTTTCCCTAAGTAGACAAGAGTTTTACTGAGTGGTGCAATCAACCTCCTAAGTGTGCAAGAGATCTACTTAGGATGCACATCTTCTCTCCCTGTATGCAAGATTTCTATTTGGTGGTGCATATCATCTCTCTAAGAGAACATCTTAGTGGTGCATGTGTTGTCTCCAAGTATGCTAGAGATTTAGTGGTGCATGTGTTGTCTCCAAGTGTGCTAGAGATTTAGTGGTGCATGTGTTGTCTCCAAGTGTGCTAGAGATTTAGTGGTGCATGTGTTGTCTCCAAGTGTGCTAGAGATTTAGTGGTGCATGTGTTGTCTCCAAGTGTGCTAGAGATTTAGTGGTGCATGTGTTGTCTCCAAGTGTGCTAGAGATTTAGTGGTGCATGTGTTGTCTCCAAGTGTGCTAGAGATTTAATGGTGCACCCCTCATTCTGTGGGTCATGTTACAAGAAGAGGGAAACTGGAATCGGTGACCACTAGAAAGATTTGTCCGATACAGGAAGACAACACAAGAAGATTATTGGCTCTTTTGTCTGGGCATAATGGCGGAAAATGGTTGCTGGCAGGTCGGGATTGGGAAGAGGGGGGTTGGAGAGGTCAACACATGAAGTGATACATGCTGCTGAAGATCACAGGTTGCAAAGAGGTACGATCACCCACGTCAGTTGGCAAGGAACTTGATGATGATGATGATGATTTGTTCACCAAGTAAGCAAAAGATCACATCAGGACTGTTTGACAGTGCAGGCATTTATCCAAGAATACAAGAGGGTCTACTTAGTGGTGCACATCTACTTAATGGTGACATTGCTCCAAGCAAGCAAGATTTACTGAGTGATTTTCATCTACCTACTGAAAGATCTACTTATTGGTGCACATCTACTTAATGGTGACATCGCTCCAAGCAAGCAAGATTTACTGAGTGATTTACATCTACCTACTGAAAGATCTACTTAGTGGTGCACATCTACTTAATGGTGACATCGCTCCAAGCAAGCAAGATTTACTGAGTGATTTACATCTACCAACTGAAAGATCTACTTAATGGTGACATCGCTCCAAGCAAGCAAGATTTACTGAGTGATTTACATCTACCAACTGAAAGATCTACTTAGTGGTGCACATCTACTTAATGGTGACATCGCTCCAAGCAAGCAAGTTTTACTGAGTGATTTACATCTACCAACTGAAAGATCTACTTAGTGGTGCACATCTACTTAATGGTGACATCGCTTCAAGCAAGCAAGTTTTACTGAGTGATTTACATCTACCAACAGAAAGATCTACTTAGTTGTGCACATCTACTTAATGGTGACATTGCTCCAAGCAAGCAAGATTTACTGAGTGATTTACATCTACCAACTGAAAGATCTACTTAATGGTGACATCGCTCCAAGCAAGCAAGATTTACTGAGTGATTTACATCTACCAACTGAAAGATCTACTTAGTGGTGCACATCTACTTAATGGTGACATCGCTCCAAGCAAGCAAGATTTACTGAGTGGTGCATATCTACTGTCAAAAGATGTACTTAGTGTGCACAGATACTCATTAAAAATACTCATGGTACCTACCTAATCTCCAAGTATGCAGAGGAGCTACTTAGTGGTAAACATATATTCACTAAAAGATCTACTTAATGGTGCACGCCCACTCTCCAAGAATGCAAGTAGTCTACTTAGTGATGCCCCCCTAATCTCCAAGTAAGCAAGAGTTCTAATTAGTGGTGCACACCTAATCTCCAAGTAAGCAAGAGTTCTAGTTAGTGGTGCACACCTAATCTCCAAGTAAGCAAGAGTTCTAGTTAGTGGTGCACACCTAATCTCTAAGTAAGCAAGAGTTCTAATTAGTGGTGCACACCTAATCTCCAAGTATGCAAAAGATCTAGTTAGTGGTGCACATCTAATCTCCAAGTATGCAAGAGATCTAGTTAGTGGTGCACACCTAATCTCCATGTATGCAAGAGTTCTAGTTAGTGGAGCACACCTAATCTCATATATGCAAGAGTTCTAGTTAGTGGAGCACACTTAATCTCCATGTATGCAAGAGTTCTAGTTAGTGGAGCACACTTAATCTCCATGTATGCAAGAGTTCTAGTTAGTGTTGCACACCTAATCTCCAAGTATGCAAGAGATCTAGTTAGTGGTGCACACCTAATCTCCATGTATGCAAGAGATCTAGTTAGTGGTGCACACCTAATCTCCATGTATGCAAGAGTTCTAGTTAGTGGAGCACACTTAATCTCCATGTATGCAAGAGATCTACTTAGTGGTGCATAGATAATCTCCAAGTATGCAAGAGATCTAGTTAGTGGTGCACACTTAATCTCCAAGTAAGCAAGAGATCTAATTAGTGGTGCACACCTAATCTCCAAGTATGCAAAAGATCTAGTTAGTGGTGCACACCTAATCTCCAAGTATGCAAGAGATCTAGTTAGTGGTGCACACCTAATCTCCAAGTATGCAAAAGATCTAGTTAGTGGTGCACACCTAATCTCCAAGTAAGCAGGAGATGTAGTTAGTGGTGCACACCTAATCTCCAAGTAAGCAGGAGATGTAGTTAGTGGTGCACACCTAATCTCCAAGTGGGCAAAAGATCTAGTTAGTGGTGCACACCTAATCTCCAAGTAAGCAGGAGATGTAGTTAGTAGTGCACACCTAATCTCCAAGTAAGCAGGAGATCTAGTTAGTGGTGAACACTTAATCTCCATGTATGCAAGAAATCTAGTTAGTGGTGCACACCTAATCTCCAAGTAAGCAGGAGATGTAGTTAGTGGTGCACACCTAATCTCCAAGTAAGCAAGAGATCTAGTTAGTGGTGCACACCTAATCTCCAAGTATGCAAAAGATCTAGTTAGTGGTGCACACCTAATCTCCAAGTAAGCAGGAGATGTAGTTAGTAGTGCACACCTAATCTCCAAGTAAGCAGGAGATCTAGTTAGTGGTGAACACTTAATCTCCAAGTAAGCAGGAGATGTAGTTAGTGGTGCACACCTAATCTCCAAGTAAGCAAGAGATCTAGTTAGTGGTGCACACCTAATCTCCAAGTATGCAAAAGATCTAGTTAGTGGTGCACACCTAATCTCCAAGTAAGCAGGAGATGTAGTTAGTAGTGCACACCTAATCTCCAAGTAAGCAGGAGATCTAGTTAGTGGTGAACACTTAATCTCCATGTATGCAAGAGATCTAGTTAGTGGTGCACACCTAATCTCCAAGTAAGCAGGAGATCTAGTTAGTGGTGAACACTTAATCTCCATGTATGCAAGAGATCTAGTTAGTGGTGCACACCTAATCTCCATGTATGCAAGAGATCTAGTTAGTGGTGCACACCTAATCTCCAAGTAAGCAAGAGATCTAGTTAGTGGTGAACACTTAATCTCCATGTATGCAAGAGATCTAGTTAGTGGTGCACACCTAATATCCAAGTAAGCAGGAGATCTAGTTAGTGGTGACCACCTAATCTCAGTTTGCAAAAGATCTACTTAGTGGTGCACACCTAATCTCCAAGTATGCAAGAGATCTACCTAGTTGAGCACACTTAATCTCCCAGTATGCAAGAGATCTACTTAGGGTGCACACATAATCTAAAAGTACACATCTATTTGTAGCTAAGAAAGTGCATATCTAGTAATAAGCCGAACTCCCAACCAACCTCCCAACCAATCAACATCCAACCAATATTCCAATCATCTAATTACATATCATTCAACAAACCAACATACATATCTGTTAGCCATCCAAATACACTACCATACAACCAACCAATCCTTTACAAATCAAGTCGGTGAAACATGTCTCTAGGTTTAACAAACTTGTACTATATTCATTATGCCAAACTTCTTTTCTAAAAAAAAAAAAAAAAGCTTGTCAACACACATGAATGAACCAATCAATCAATCAACCATGAAATGACATCACTTCACTTGGAACATTCCCAAATGTATTGTTCCCTTTCTGCAGTAGCCAACACAGTTCCCATCTAGGGTTTTTCCCCAGGTAAAAGGTGCCCGCACCTCCCAAAAAGTGTTTTAAAAAAGGGTGTTGGTGTTGGTACTCATCACAAAGGGTCTATTTCAGTAGAACTGAAAACACAAAAGGTTTCGGTACTGAGTGCCACTGCATACTGCCAGAAAAAAAGCCTGGCTTCCATACTGATGGTGCAGTTACAGCTTGTCTTTTCCTGTATGCATGGAAAAACCGTCCAAAATCTCAGCTTATTACCCACAGATTTAGTCTTTAAAGATATAGATACTCTCTTCCGCTGCAATCAGTCTTAGTCTTCATCTCAATTGAGGTTTCAACTTCACTTGCCCATTCTTGCTCAGCTCCTGTGCCAGTGAAAATCAAATGAAATGTCCCTCACTGTTGCATTTCAAAAACTGGTGAACGGACAATCAGTCCCGGCACACTCCAGAAATATGCACATACAGTAAATGCATCTGGCAGCTGCTAGAGATGCCAAAACCAACAGTCACCACCAGAAATGCAGTTTGTTGTTGATGGAAGTGGTCAGGCATAATAAGCTGGCTATACACACGTATAATTATTTCAACAGTCCACACATAAACCAGCTACCGGCCATATTGGATACAATGACTCAGCCGTTGCATAAATAGAAAGCCTTCTACATTTTGAAAGAAAAAAAAACACAACTCACAGGGCTGCACCAAGCACCTAACTCATTAGCTTAGGCACTGTCTACTTGATCATAGACCGCCTTCATCATGCCCACTTTATCGTAGTTTAATATTTTCCAACACACAAAGCTGCTGCAACCTTTAAAAAAGTCACACAACTATCACACAATCATCACATACCCGCACATACCACCACACAACCATCACACTCTCACATACAATCACACATCATCACATACCACCACACATTCTCACACAACAATCACACACCCTCACAAATCTATCACACGTCCTCAAACAACCATCCTACATCCTCACACAACCATCACACATATATTTCACTTACCTAATTCTACACATTCAGTATCATACAGCTCAACCTGGTAAGGTATGCCTGGCTTAATCTCGATTTTCTGGTAAGGTTCAACTGTTGAGGAGAATACATTTCAAGAATTATGTCAAAATATTCTTCTTCTTTTCTTTACTCCTGGAATGACTCGCAGTGTTAGGGCCAGAAGAGATCTCTGGTGGAATAGGCCCTTCTGTTTGATTCTTATAAAGTACTTTTCAGTATCTCTAATGTTTCTGCAGTCAGTGTTCTGCGTGGTCGACCTCTGGATCTGTTACCACTGTATCTGTATAACACAGCTCTCTGTGGTGCCTTGTCTGCTGCTGATCTTGTTTCATGGCCAAACCATCTAATTTGTTGTCTACCTGTAAAGTTCAGTATTGGTTCTGTGCCAACACACTTCCTGATATCATCGTTCATAAGTCGATCTTTCCTCGTTACACTTAGCATATACGTAAACACTGCATTTCTGTCATGACTACTTTCCTTCACGGCGTCCATGGCTTAGGTGTTGCGAGTGTGCCCATTGGTCTGTAAAAATATGGGATGCTCTTCCCATATGCCCGATGCGCCTAAGGCGTGAAAAGGGATCTTTACTTTTTTTACTTTCCTTTTGTCTTCTGAAGACAGGGTCCAAACTATTATCATTATCAATCACCAGGTCCCTTACAGAATGTTGCTCTTGTCCTGGCACAACTTGAAGTCTCTCTTTCTGTACCCAATTCTCCTGTCCTATGTACTTTCACTGCCAATGCATCTTTGATTTTCTCTATTCACTTTCACCTAGGTCTGCCTCTGTGTTGTCTTCTAGAAACTGTCCCTCGTCACTGATCTCACCAGGCAACCATGACGTTTAACATGTGTCAGTTATCGTATGAGGTAGTTACAGTATGTGTCGGTTACAGTATGTGGTAGTTTATATGTGTGGTAGGTTTCATGTTTAACGTATTTCAGTTATCATATGAGGTAGTTACAGTAAGTGTCGGTTGCAGTATGTGGTAGTTAATTTGTGTGGTAGGTTGCACGTTTAACATGTTGTCAGTTATCGTAGGAGGTATTTATAGTATGTGGTAGGTTGCACGTTTAACATGCTGTCAATTATCGTATGAGGTAGTTACAGTATGTCTCGGTTATAGTTTGTGGTATCTAATATGTGTGGTAGGTTGCAAGTTCAACATGTGTCAGTTATCGTATGAGGTAGTTATAGTATGTGTTCGGTTACAGTATGTGGTAGTTAATATGTGTGGTAGGCTGCACCAATTTGGGCACCTCAACTAATTTTTAAAATATGTTATAAATGAGATTCTAACATATTACAACTGTGTTGGCAGCTAAAAGTGAAGGCCATTACTCTACCAAAGCTTCTTTCAGGGTCAGGTCATCATGGTAACTCATAAACTACAGGGGCTGCATGGTCTCGAGGCATCGTGTCCGCCTTGAGTGCTAGAGGTTCCAGGTTCAATCCCCTGTAAGGGCTGTGATTTTTTCACATGGAATTGGACTTCTAGTAATTCCCCCTGGTCTCCGGGTAGTGAGATAGGACCCCAGTGTGCATTGTTGTGCATGCAAAAAAAAATCCCTTCGCAGCTGGGAGTAGCCTAACGGCGCTGCCCAGGCAAAATTTTGATTTAAAAATCTACCCAAAGTATTTCAGGATCCTCGCTGGTGCTACAGTCTGTGCACTGTGCAGAGCTTCTTCAGACCCAGACTTGAGTTAGAAGAAGAACGGAGCCCTTATGGGCTACTACCCGTGTGCCATGATGTTGGTCCTTTGTTCAAACTTCAAACTCATAAACTAATTAACCACAAATATCAACTATCAGAGTTGAGTTGAGTCAAGAATTTACATCACAGCACTTGGGGCATTCCCATATGCGCTCCATCCCCATCCTCAGCAGCCAGAGCACAGTTCAATACTAATGGTGCTGATTGTAGTCTGGTTGTATGTCCATCTTGCCTTTTCTCTGAGCGCAGTGTGCCGTCTAAACCCTCTAGTCACACCCAGGTGCATCATTCTCTCCAGCCCATAATAATCTAGCTGTTCTTCTGACTTTGTTACTTGTTCCCAAAGGAACACATATCAACTATTATGACTGTAAGTGACACACACACGCACATATGCACACACACACACACACACTCACACATTCAATTATTACCACAAATATCAACTATCATTACTGTAACTGACACATACACTAATTATCACCAATATAAACTATCATTTCTGTAACTGACCCTTACACTATCATAAATAGCAACTATCGCTACTGTAACTGACATATACACTAATCATCACCAACATCAACTATCACTACTGTAACTGATACACACTTATTATCACAAATAATTACTATCCTTACTGCAACTGACTTATACACTAATTATCACAAATATTAACGATCAATACAGTAACTGACACATACAATAATTATCACAAATATCAACTATCATTACTGTAACTGACACATACACTAATTATCACTAATATCAACTATCACTACTGTTACTGACACATACACTAATTATCACCAATATCAACTATTATTACTGTAACTGACACATACACTATTACAAATATCAACTATCACTACTGTTGCACAGTAACTATTGCACAATGCACAGACAAATACAGTGATTATCGTACATAATAACAACCACATGTCAATGAATAGGGAGATTTAACATGAAGCAGTTGACATTAAAATAAAAATAAAAAATTTGTGAAGTTACCTGTTTGGCTCTTGGATACAGACTTGGTGTTACCATACAACAGGTGCTGTACTGTTGAATCTGAAGAATGACCCCACACATTTTGGGCGCGGAATCTTTGCACAGTTTGGACATTATGATCCACCCATTGGGACTCTACATTTGCATTACGGTGAGACAGCACTCTGATGTGCGTGTGGGGCTTCTGTGCTACCGATAATGATGACGGCGTCTCACTTTCTTTGGTTGCCGACATAGCTTTATTCATACGAATACAAGGCTTTATGGCGAAGTCTTTGAAGTCTGACTCCATACTGGCATGCTGTATACTTTGTCTTCTTAACTTGGGCACGGTCAAAATATATTCAGAATTTGATAGTTGAGAGATGTGGCCAAACATGCTGGGCTTCTTTATGATCCAAACTTGAGCTTCTGATTCTTGTGAGGCAGACTGAGAATTCAGACCCTTGCCCATTTTGGGGATAATCTGTCTTTCTTCAGAGGTCTCATCACTAACACGGGCATCTTGGAACTTCACATGAAGTGTCTGTTTCTCTTTATCGGGGTCTGACTCTTTGGCAGCAAACATTGTGGGTATGCTTTTTGTGTGTCTGACCGCTTGTGCTTCAGTAGTTTCTGTAGCAGCGTTCACACCTGGCACCGATTTTATATTTGACTTTGAGAGTTCTGCAGTACCTATTTCATCCATGGTGCAGACTTCAGGATGAGTTTGACCAGCTAGCAGGTGCTCTGTACTCTGGACACCACTGGATGTTTCTAAGTGTGAATCAGGCAGCAGAGACTGACTGGCAGACATGTCAACATCTTCCAGTGTTCCACAAACGAGACTGTTATCCTCTGTTTGCACATCATCCACATTAAGATCTAGTAGTTCTTCACTGGATTGTTCTACAGATGGCTGTGAGCTTCTCGTAGCCCATTTGGGCAACAGATGACTATTCTCTTGTAAGCCCAAGTTAACATGCTCAGGCAGTGGGGATCCGTGTTGGATCCTAGCAGGAAGAACTATCTCCTCTTCTCCAGAAACAAGAGTTGGTGTATCAGAGGGCTTGGATGCCCAGCCAGGTAAATTCTGTGAAGCTGCATCAAGTAAATCCTGAAAAACAGAAAAAGATGCAGATTAAATCACACAGATTAATGACAAACCAGTATACAATTAAAAACAAGCCATTTTCTGTATGAAAATTTAAGGGAAAAATGTTTTCTTCTTCTTCTTCTGCTTCTTCTTCTTCCTCTTCATGTATACCCATTATAAACTGGGGGGGGGGGGGGGGGGGGGGGGGGGGGGGGGAATACTGTTTTCTATTCCTGTCAAACCTTCTATAATCAGTGAATACACCGCCAAGTACTTAGCCCTTTGGAGACGCAGCCGAAATATCGACCGGACACAAAGTAGCTAAAAGAACGATTGGGCTGATCAGTCTGCCCTACGTAATACAAGCCTTGAGATTGGCTGGCAGATTTTCGTACTAGCTAATCAGATTGCTTCTCGCGTTTTTGCCCATGTGGGTTATTCACTGCCGTCTTTCAAGAAAGTTTGATGTGTTCAGTAATTTTACATCAATTTTTTGGGGGGGTTACCTGTGCCCAACAATGCCGAAAAGGACTGATGCATCAAGCAACCCAAACATAGCTGGGAAAATTAGTAGAACCATGTGCCAGAAGTGTCTAAAAGGCCTCCAAGGGCCTTACTTCCCAAAACACAAGTATTATTATTCAAGCTTCATCCATCAAAAAATCCACCCAAAATTGTTAGGTTAGTCATGTTTGTTCCCAAGTTTTTTTTAAAAATGCTTGCATAAATTATGCAAATCACAATAGTTAATTTGAATAAATGTTGTGGTTTCAGTTTGATTCATAAATATTCTGTTAGCTTACTAACAGATTTTGTATAAGTCAATTAAACGCTTTATTTTTTATAATTTTTTTGTGTATAAGCTGTGAGAATGCCCTCCTGAAGGCTTTGTCTTTTTTTGGCACTGAAACTCCAAAAAGGCTCCGTCTCCAAAGGGTTAAACCCTTTAGCCTATTATAATATCTCTCCTTCAACAGTAATATTTACTTTCATTATTTTTTTTAATACTGTTTATTTTAATTTTATTATCTTTTATTTGCAAAAGGTATTAAGTCTGTTTCTTGACGCTGCTGGTTATCCTTCTTTTTTTTTTTCAATTGTAGGTTATGATCGTGCTCAAAAAATATTCCCAATGAGGTTACAATATTCTCACCTGTGTAGAAATGCTTTCTTGTTCCAGATTTAATGACAAATCTTGCCCAGCAGTTTCGGGGTTTACGTCTCCTCCACTTTCAGCATTTCTGGACAAATTCGGTCACTCCAAAGTGTTTTATTAACCTTTTGAGCTTCAATATCATCCCTAACCTCTGTCTAAAAAAAAAAAAAACATGCTCTAAGCATATCTAAAGATCCTTCTCAGCCCTGGGTATCTCAGCTAGTACAGGCAGGTTTTGACAGTTTAGCACCTACTGGAAGTGTTCTTTCAACCATTCCGATTTCTCTGCTGTAATCCTCTTTCCAATCTTTAACTTCGGAGGCCAATTCTGGAGTGACACTAAATTTTCTTCCAGTTTCTTATTTATGTAAATCTGATTTTTCTTCTGTATTGAGTGGATTTCGCTTCGAAATGCCGGGATGCCGGGTTCGATCCCAGTTGCGGGCAATGCACCTTACGTTGGTTTCAACAGTGGGATCAAGAAAGCCGACCGTCCAGAAAGCAATGGCAAACTACTGGACGTAAATTTGCCAAGAGAAACCAGACAACAGCCAGGGACTGTTATGGTTGGTTCTGCAACGTCCTGTAAAGGATACGCAACTAACTTATTGAGTGGATTCTTGGCAGATTTGCGTTGGTGAGAACCACAGTGCCTGTCATTCAATTTTCAGCAGTTTTCTGAGACCAATTATGTAAAATTGATTCGGTCTCTTTGCGTTGCGCTGAAACAGTGTCTAAAGTTTTGCATGTGTATAACAGTATTGACAGAATTATTCTCCTGTATTTAGCTTTGTCTGCAAGAAGAAGCCATTTTTATTCCAGACATTTGTACCTTCTTCTCCTTCATAATATTCACCGGCTGTAAACTGTGGTGGAAAGTTCTGATTGCTTGTCCACTTTTGGACTTTGGTCTTGCTCGAGAACTCGAATTTGGCATGCACATCTGTTGTACAGTTCTAGCTTACTTGTATGCAGATTGTGGGTTCCTCGTCCCTAAGGCAGATGCTATCTGACTTCGGAGGGGAAATCCCCAATTAGGCACCTTTTGTGACATGAATGTAAGGCAGGCAGTGGGTCTATTTGATTTTTTGTCCCACTAAAATAGGGTCCCGGAACAGATGGGGGAAGATTCTAGTATCAAGTCTACCAAAGGTGCTGCTGGTCTTTGAGATTCTATTGCTGAAAACGTTGTTGAAAGCGACTCGCTAAGGCAGAGAATAGCTATGTGAAAATGTTGTTCTAAGCTGTATGTGTCTAACCATTTGTTCTTTGGTGTACCTCATTCTCGTCTTCTTCTTATAATCGTGTGGCATTGGTAGTCTTGTCTATCCACAACCTGCTATCTCATGTAATCTGAATCAATTCTGACACAGATGATCTTCCATGCCCTGTCGAACCATCCCCCTCTGCCTCTTGTCCCCTCCAACTTTCCCATTATCATGATTGATTCCAGTTTTTATCTTTCTTATGAAATTAACAAAGAATATAGATTCTCATGCTCAATAACCAAATTTTCCAGTGTAATCATCATAGGGCACATGTATGTAAACAAAGACACAGAATAATCAACAAACCTTTGCATGAAGGTGCTCAGCCATTTCCTGTCTCCATCGTTCTGCATCTTCTGTAAGAAAATGTACTCTAGAAGTTTCCAGCTGAGCTCGCCTCACCCTCCACAATGCCAGCCTCTCCCGATGCATGGTCTCTTCACCAAGTTCAGTGTAGTAGGCTATCAGGTCATCTCTAAAAAGACATCAGTCCACTATCATCATGTGACATGTTTAAAAAATGCAAACGTAAAATGAAAAATGCATAAAGCAGTTGTCAGATGTGCCAACACTAACAATCGCCCACCAGAATTGCAGCTCACTGATGGCACAAATGGTCAATCACAAAAGCCGATATTGCAACAGCAAAAGTACACACCATTCTGAATGTAATCAGCCACTTGTTATTTTAGTGTAATCAACAGCACACAGTGTACACAACAGAAAAAAAAACACTCCTTATGAAATTCACAGTTCTTAGCATCACACCACGCACTCAACTAAGTAGCTGGGTGATGGAACCTTTGGACTTTAGGCCAGAATGAGGAATTTGCATCAATCAAACCTAGATGAAAAAGCTAACTTTTTAGAGTGCCAGTAGTCAGCCGGCTATCGTCCATTTTTGCTGCAAGTCTACCATACTATTTTAATGGCTTTTACGGTTGTACAGTGATTTATATATGTGTATTATGCAAAATACATGGAATAGAAGAAAGCACACTTTAATGCTTTTTGTAAATTTTTATTCAACTGCATACAAGAATGGAGGTGGAGGCAGTCACTGGCTTAAGAATCAGCTGTACACACATCGTCATTGTGAGTGACTCACAGAGCATGTTGAAATAGGTTGAGACAGGCATGCTCCATGTAGAGTGGCAAGCATTGCTTCAGAGGTCCCAGGTAGTTAGCGTCCTCTGGATATTTTATCCAGGTCATGCCGGTGTGTTGGTAAATGAGCAGGCAGATAGACTGGCCAGTTTTGCACCACCTGGTGATGAATTGATGTATGACAAGCTAGATGTTGTGAGGACACTTTGGGAGCGAGTAAACAGTGAGGAGGCACAAACAGATCATTACGGTTTGAGGAGAATGCTGCTGTGAGGAGTTACCAGGGGATCCGGCCGACGGTCAACACTCAAGGGAAAGGCGAGAATGATATAAAATCAGACAGTTACTGGTGCCATGGAAATAGAACTTTTAGCTTGCTGCTGAAGATGAGGACAGAGCGCTTATGGGAGTGTCCTGAGTGCTGCAATGTCAATTCTTAATTCAATATTCAACATTCAACTGTGCATTAAAAGAATAACAACAAGTGACTAAAGAACACAATATATAGATGCAATTCAACTGGAGAAAATTCCATAAACTTTGTTTAACCATACAACATGGTTATATAAGGGCACCCAGCGAAGTAATCTGTAGTCCAATTCTCATAGGTTTCTCATGGGTTTTAATTAACGCCACACTCACACATCTGGGTCATGAATAATACAGGTATTGAGGTGGACTCATGGGAACAAAATGCTATGGACTGTGTTGTATGGAGAGGGCATATCAGGAAGGGAGTGAGAGTGAAGGAAGAAATGACTGCAGAAAGGATGAGAGCATCTGAAAAGAAATGGATTAAGCACAAATGTTGACAACAATGGTCCTGAAATCCTATACTATCATTACGGAAGACCTTTCTTGACACAGGGGGGGGCTTGCTAATCACACTCGCTATCGCTATGGGCTGTGAGTCTCATGCCTCCTCATAGTGCAATATAACACTATCGTCTGGAAAGATGGAAAGGTGCCAATCATCACACATTTGTATACTTTTCTCAAAGGCAACTCCACAATGCTCACCTAGCTTTCTTTTCCAGCTCAATTTCCTCTTCTGTCATTGCATGTTCTTTATGAAGCAGTCTTGCCATAAAGTTTTTGTCGTCTTCTTTTGACTGAGTCTTTTCGCCTGCTCTTCTCTGTGAACATACATAAACATAATAGCAACACACAGTGAATTTGATTTTTTTAAAAATAATTTTAATTATCTTCTGGCTCTGACAGTCATGCCTTTCCACAACATTCTGTCTTGTTTACTTTTAATCAGATCTAACATAGACTGTCCATGCTATGATGTCAAACTGCCCAACATCTTCTCTCACAGTCTCCCTCTGCCTCTTTTTCCCTTCAACGCTTTCACCGTCACGATGTACTCCAGTTTTCTCATTCACATCACATGACCAAAGTATGTAGATTGTCTCCTTCTAATAAGGTCAATCAGTTCTCTTCATGAGCTTTTTTTGTTTTCAAGACATCTATATTACTCTTTTTACCTGTCCAGGGTATTCTCATTATTTGTCTAGGAAACCATATAATTTTTAAAAAAGTTATTAAATCACATCCAAATAATTGTAATAACTGTCCATGATTCACTTCTGCATTTTAGGATTAATATAGCTCTTTAGAATTATATTTCAGATAGTCATTGGCAACAACACAAGCCATTCGGCACAAAATCCTCAGGCTCACAACCCCGTGTCTAAACCGCCCTAAAAAATGGTACATGCAGATAGTAGTGACAGTTTTGACCTAATTCTCTGTCTCGTCTCAAAAGATAATGAAAGGTTACACAGAACATTCTTCATTGTGTAAAATGCTGCCTTTGCTTGCACTATTCTACCTTTAACTTCTTTAATGCATCTTCTATCTGCTTTTATCAGGGTTAAAAAAAAATACTTTAACAAATCAACTTGCTTGATGACTGTCCCATTACCTTTGATACTGCTTTTTGAAGGGTGCATTTTTGGGGGGTAATTAAAACAGCTATAATTTACTTTGTAACTCAACTTTGTGGTAACTTTTTAATTAAACTTTTCAATTAAAATATCTTCACCGCAAAATAATTTACCACAATCATCCTATTGTGCTGTTATACATCACACAGGGCTAGGTCTAGTAAAAATCCTGTGTAATCCTTCGATATCATGGATGAAATCTAGGCCAGCGCCTTTGGTCTTTCTCAACAACATTCATCTCAAGGTTATTCTTGGACGTTCCAATTTTTTTTTAAATCCATTAATCTCCCACTTCAGTGTTTGTTAAGCGAGTCTTCTCATGATGTGCTCAGTATACATCTTCTTCTTCTTTTGTCATCCTATTGATACCAAGTTGTAGCCAAGTGTCGTGGTTTTCTGTATTTGTCTTGCCCTTCTCAGGTGGTTTGTGTGAAGAATTTGTTCATTCTTTTGCAGGTTTTGGCTATCTGTATCTTTTTTGGTCTTCCTCTCGCTTTCCTCCCTGATGTTCTGCTGTAAAAACTCTCATGTACAGTTTGCCTGGCTGCATTCTCACTAAATAGCCAAACTATTTAATTCTTTGTCTGTCAATATAATCCAGACTTGGTCTTATTATTCTAACTTTCGCTCTAATGCTGCTTTTCGTAACCCTGTCTCCTCTTGTGTTGTTAATGACCTTGCAGAAGCAGCGCATTTCAATGTAGTAATTTTCTGTTCTAGTGCCCTATTTAATGTCCCTGTTTGGCACTGATAATATAAAATAGGGATAAGGATGCTAGTAATCATTTGCTAGAAGGGAGACACTTAGGTGTCTAAGCAGTGGGGCTAACTGGTAGGTGACAGCATTTGGCTTCTGTGCTCTGGCTTCTATCTCTCTATCAAATCTGCCATCCTCCGCAAATATACTGCCAACTTTTCTGTCATATAGTTGTTGATACAATCAGCTGCCAGAAATGTGTCCTACTTTTTTGACTTTCTTGAATTCATCCCAGTTTATATTCATCAGTTTCTTTAGGCATTTGTTTTTGGATGCTTTTAACTTTCATTTCAGTGGTTTTCACAACTTTCACGGGCATAAGTTAAAACTGAAATAACATTAGAACTGAAAACAAGTAACACAATAATTACAGCAGATAAATGATTATCTAGCCTCTGTTGTTGAAACCTCACTTCAAGAGGTGGAATAAAACATATTTACGTAGACAAATTAAGAGGAACAGACAGAGATACTAAAAAACTAATACAAAAGACAAACTAGGACCTTTCATAGCATTAGAAAATGAGTGCAAGATCTCGTACCAATCCTAGAATATTTACTCCAATCATCGTTCACTGTTCATATTTGAGAGCATCTTCATCGCACATTTGACACGACCATAAGTGCTCCGATCTCCTCCTGAGTATGTCTCCAAGTGAATTTAGGGCTAACAACTCCCATTCTGTTATGGCTGATATAATGACTGGTGACTTTCGCATGGTTTTCCTGTCTTGCAGCTCCAACTGGTACACCCAGGGTATGCAGTATATTCAGTACAAATAATTGTCTACGCCTCACAGCGTGTAGTCTCTCCTATGGCATTGATGATGTCTCTCCTGTCCACAGATTAGATAATTGTATGTTAATCAGTACTGCGGCAGGAATGTGACAATAACTGGAACAATTACTTTCTTTCTTTCTTTTGTCCATATTCTGTATGCCGCAACGCACCCCAAGTTAACAAATGATTGGTATCTGAGCTAGGATGCACTCAGTTGCCCAGTATGCTGTGATATTCTGGAGTCTCAAGGTATCAGTGACTCTTTCAATCCATCATCTTCTTAGTCATCCCCTACCTCTTGGTGTTTCTACTTTCATGCTGTACACTACTGTTGCTGGCAACATTGTTAGATTCACTCTCATTAAAAAGCCAAACTATTTCAGTCACTGTTTTTCAATAAATTTAACTGTAGGTGTTGTTTCAACGGTTCTTGCAATCTCTTCACTCTTCACATAATCTCTTCTAGTTTTCTGAACAATTACTAATAAACTGGAAACATTTATTAAACACAGTCTGGACAGAATAGAGGGACAGAGATGGTATGACAGAGTCATCAATGTGAAGCACATGGAAAAACTCAACAAATTTCAGGGAATCCGGAGGTGAGGAAATGATGCTGGTACTAAATATAGGCCACACATTAAGAAAACCTGTGAATAACAAAGTTCATCCTCTTGAACCCACAAAGCAGAAGAAGTGGAAGGAGAAATAAAACACATGGAAAAGGGATGCTCCAAGGGATCAAGAGATAGTACAAGACATTTTTTTTTTTTTAAAGGGAAGGGGGGTGGAATTAGGAACTAGAAAGATTATGTTTAACATCATGGCACAGAACAAACTGGGGATGCACTGCAGCCAACGTGTGATGTGATGAAAATTCATCTGAAAGAACCGTTCACCTGCATCTTGTAACATATACCTATATAATTAAAGCAGGCATAAAGCATCTGTGGCTCAGAAAAGTCAACAAACCTTCAAGTCCTCTTCCATTTGTTCTTTCAGGCGGTGAAATTCTACTTCCTTTTTAAGTGTTGCTTTCTTTTTCCTTTCATTTATGATACCTGTGACAAGAGAATAACTGAAAAGTAAATGTCTGTTAGAAAAAAAAAAAAAAAAAAGATATGTTTTTAAATAATGTGGACACAAACAATATATTGCACAGTTTATTGTCAGCTGGCAATAAAGTGTGCAATGTATTGTTTGTGTCCGCATTATTTAAAATCATTATGGGAAAACATTGTTTTGAAAGATATGTTTAACGGGTTCAGAGGTAAGAAGATCAACACTGTACTGGGTTTTATCCCATAAGGCTCAATCTCTCTACAAAGATGGCTAACTGCCTGCCAAAGATTGAACACAGCCTAAATTCATTAGTTCCAGTGATAACACCAGTGAACTTAACAGCCCAGTCTTGAAGCAATCCCACAAACTTCTCAGCAAGTGGTTTAACAACTTAGCCATAAAGACCACGTGGTATTGTACGACTGTATGCAGAAATAGTAAGCACAAGCTCATATACATACTTTACATGTAAGGTATATACACATGTTTGTCCATGCTTCTCCTAGGCAACACCAGCAGTGAAATAAGAGACTTCTTGTTAAGCGTTCCACACCCTTGAGGTCCACTGATGCAGATATCATTCATCTCTGTGACTGGCCTTGTCTTTCTAGATGGTGACTCCAAGTGTTTGTATGGCGGCCGATATATTATCTCTCCACCATCTTCTTGGTCTGCTTTGTGGTCTACTTCCAATCAACACTTTGGTACAAACAGTTTTTGTCTCTTTGTTATCTTAGATTCTCTCTTTATACCTCAGCCACTGCAGTATATAAACCCTAACGACTTCAATAATTAGTGGAAATTTAAACAATTATAAATTTTATTGTTGCTTCTCACTCTCCATTGTTTGCTGTTTGCATCTTTCACAGGTCCAAAGCAATAGACTACATTAGTTTTGTATTTTGGTTGAAAGGACTCACTGTTATGTGCTTCATATATGGTGAGATAATTTCTGTAATATGCACCTGATTTCCATTGTACAGTTCATCCATTCTTTGTTCTATTGTGCCACTGCATGTCACACAGGACTCACAGTCTACTTCTCCATTCTTCTTCTTCTTTCGTTCGCCTAAAATAAGTTGTATATATCAGCAATTTTGTCTATTGTATACATTTCACTGTTGTTAATTCATTTAGTGGTCCATAGAGTTTACGTTCCACTGTTGTTCTTTCTGGCCAAAAAGTTTGCCTTAATGTGTCAAATTCAGTGCAGCCCTGGAGCACATGCTCTGCTGTCTGGGGCACCTTTCCACAGATGCACATGGCTGATATGCCTATCTTGAATTTTGTACTTCTCCATTCAGTTCTTTCCTGTGTGATTCTTTGCTATCAGAAATGGGATCCAATCCAGCACCTCAGGCTTTTCTCATCAACGTTTGCCTTATTTTTCAAATCTCCCAATTTCCTAGTTAAGTGCCTGTCTTGTAATTCTCAGTTTCTCTCTTCTCAGGATGTGTCCAATTCAAAGCCATCTTCTCTGTCTTGTAACTGTTGATACTAGTGATTGCCCAAAAATTTCCCTTATTTCTTCACCCTCTTGAATTCACCCTATATAATTTTCATTTTCCCCAGGTATTTGTTTGCAAATGCATTTAACTTTCATTTCATGTTTTTCAATAGTTCTCCAACTGTCAACGACATATGTTAAAACTGAAATTACATTAGAACTGAAAATATGTAACCTGGTTCTAAAACAATATAATTGCAAATGAGCCAGGCAATATATTTTGCCGTAGATTATTGTTGTCTTCATTATTTACATTTTACAATGGGAAAACATTGCTATGAAGTGGAATTAGATGTCATAGTCCTTAAGTTTCAAACTGTGCTACGTGTTGCCTTTTAATTTGACTATTCCAGTTTGTCAAAAGTCTAAAATAGTATACAACTAACAAGAACCTTAAACAGTATAAAAACTGCTGTCTAAAGCAGTATAAAAACTCATCAGACTAAAACAGTCTAAAACTCAAGAGACAAGAGAGAGAGAACTAACTGGCAAGCAATGCACCAACACATGTGGGAAGAAGTATGGACACAGCAGATATCATCAACGCTGTACGGACAGGGCTAGTGGATAATGACGAATTGTCTGACACTAACGTAATTGGGCGACATGGAAGTGAAGCAAGTTTATGCAGCCTTCAAGGCCAAGATAAGAGACATTATAACCAACCTCTAATGGGAACAATTAGCTAAAGGACCATAGAGTAGTTGCTGCATCAGAGGAATAAGCACGCATGGGAATATCCAATGTGCAGTGACGTTAATTGTGATAACAGAACAAAACTCAAGAGATTTGAAAAGTGTATAAAAACTGAAGCAATTCTGAACAGATATAAAAACTCATAAGTATAAAAAAAAGTATAAAAATTCCATAGTCTAAAACAGTATTAAACATCTAGCAGTTAAAAAAAAGCTCTAGAGATAATTAAAAAATAAAAACTGCTAAAACAGAAAAAAAATGAAGAGTCTAAAGAAGAATGAAAACTCTAGTCTTACCACTTTTTAGCATGGTGTAAAACACAGGTTTTCAAATGGCGGTCCACAGGCCACATGTGGCCCGCAGATCATTGCCAGTTTTATTGTATGACTGATTTTTTTTCTATGCTGGCACTCAAACCTCCGTCCTGTGACAACCCCTATTTTCAAAATTGTGGCCCCTAAGTAAACTTGTTTGTACAGCCCTGGCAAAGTTCAAAGAAGGCTTGAGAATTTTGGGCCGCATGGCCATCATGATGGACCTTGCAGGATGGGATTTCATCACCATCACCTTAGCAACGATTAGGACCCGGATCTTTCTAATGAGCGCCCAGCTTCTGAGCCACGCACTCCCCATGTGTGTTCAAGGGACCCCATGATGAGCGCCCAGCTTCTGAGCCACGCACTCCCCATGTGTGTTCAAGGGACCCCATAATAAGAGCCCAACTTCTGAGCCACGCACTCCCCATGTGTGTTCAAGGGACCCCATGATGAGAGCCCAACTTCTGAGCCACTCACTCCCCATGTGTGTTCAAGGGACCCCATGATGAGCGCCCAGCTTCTGAGCCACTCACTCCCCATGTGTGTTCAAGGGACCCCATGATGAGCGCCCAGCTTCTGAGCCACTCACTCCCCATGTGTGTTCAAGGGACCCCATGATGAGAGCCCAGCTTCTGAGCCACTCACTCCCCATGTGTGTTCAAGGGACCCCATGATGAGCGCCCAGCCTCTGAGCCACTCACTCCCCATGTGTGTTCAAGGGACCCCATGATGAGCGCCCAGCTTCTGAGCCACTCACTCCCCATGTGTGTTCAAGGGACCCCATGATGAGAGCCCAGTTTCTGAGCCAATCACTTCCTATGTGTGTTCAAAGGACCCCATTCTAAAGAAGAAGAAAAAAGACCAGATCCGCTGCTCCCTAACAAGCACATCATAAAAGGTGACTAAATCAGGATGTTTTGTTCCAAATCAGAGTGCATCTCTATGAGAGGCGAGGAGCTAACAATCTCCATACAAATCAACCAGGTCTGTAAAGAGGATGGGCATAAAAACTCAAGTTCTGGAACAAGGCCAAAGTCTAGAAGTGGACGAACAACCAGAATTTTCCAGCTAGTGAATGCTAAGAAAGAAAAGAAACCACTAATCCAGTTGCTCCTCCAAGCCTAAAACAGTGTTCAAAAATTCCTGAGAGTTCAAAACAGTAGAAAGACTAAAGAGAAGTTTACAACTATAAAAACTCACCTTGCAATCTAGCAATCTCATGATCAGCCATTCGTCTTGCTGTCTGCTGTAGTTCGATTCTCTGCTGTTCAACTTTTCTCAGAACTTCTTGTCTGAATCAAGAGAAGCAAAATTGGAACAATGTTCAGTCATGCTGTATACATTAATAGATCTTAAAGCATGTATTTAACCACAAACAGGTCATCATGGTCTGAAGAGAAAAGTGTGGCCCGAAGTAACCAGGGGATCTGGCCAACACTCAAAACTTAGGGGAAAGGCAAGACATACATACATTGGTTCCGCTGCCTGAGCTACTGAGTTTAGTGCTTGGTGCAGCACTGTGAGTTGTGTTTTTTCACGTGAATGACCTTTCATTTGTGAAGCAGTTGTATCGTGGTATTCAATGTGGCCGATAGCCGGTTGACGTGTGGGCTGGTAAAATACCTTATGTAATAATTGTATACGCGTATAGCCAACGAATCATGCCCATCTATTTCCATCAACCACAAAATGAATTTTTGGTGGTGACTGTTTTCTTTGGCGTCTCTAGCAACTGCCATATGTATTTACTGTGTGCGCATATTTCTTGATTGTTCCAAGACTAATTGTTAGGAACAGTGAGGGACATTTTATTTAATTTCTACTTCTGCACAGGAACAGAGCAAATATGGGGAAACCTCAACTGCAGTGATGGTGAAACCTCAAATAAAACTAAGACTATGACATACGATAAGACTGCCACTGGTACCATTGGAATTTGAACTTTGCCTAAGATGATGAAGATAGGAACGGAGCTCTTATGGGTATGTCCGGAGCGCTGTAATGCCGGGTCTTAGCTCAATCCAAAATGTATACTTAAAATTCATTCAAGGTAAAGTCAGGAGATGTGAACCAGCATGACTGTACACAGTTATAAACCATAAGTGCTCTGCCACAAGTACGGACAGCTGATAAGAAACTGTCACCGTCCGTACTCAACTCTGTAGCTACAGCAACGTTTCTCCATTTACCCCAGAGTGTTAACTCTGGTACCATTACCTACAGGCTGGGTGAACCCCGGGAACCACCCGGTTTCGAACACCGGCCATGGGCTGCAGCGAATTTGAAAGCAAGACTCCTATCGACTGGGCTAACGCAGCCTCCTAAACAATTAATTAATGAACCCCTTTTTACGCTATAAAGCCGCTCGCCTGATTGGAAGGCCGTGGGTTCACTCCCTGGTGGAGCCAGACTTTTTTTTTATGACCTTGGCTCCCAGGTCCGCCAAGCCTTGACTGAGTACCAGGTGCAGTCCTAGGAAGTAAAGGCGGCCTACGTGATGCTGATCACATCACCCATCTTGTGCCGTTCTATAAAATACAGGTCTAGCACCAATAAGCCTGAAAGGAGTTGAAAAGGGTCCTTTTTACGTAACAAAGCATACTGGGTGTATGATGCCAGTTTTCTATAGAATGAAGTAGTCAGTCCTTTATATTCAAAGCAATGTTTCCCCGTTGTAAATTTGAACAAAGAAGACACAAACAATAGATTGCACAATTTATTGCCTGGCATATTTTGCTGTATCTAGTTAGGTGCATACTACAGTAACAATTTCATAAAACTGATCGACGCCTGGAGAAACTAGTCGCTGAGCACATTCCAGTATGGGTGGAAAAAGCCATGCAAAATAATACTCAAAATGAGAATACTGGCTGCAAAGATCACCCCTCTGCAATAGCATGTCATCTTCTAAAATCTGGACACATGGTGACTAAATACAAAGCATTTAAAATCCTTCATACGTCAACCAATGGCAAAATGATAACATTTCTAGAAGCTTCCATGATTCGTCACCTGCGCCCTGAACTCTGTATTCAGAAAGAGATGGTTCAGTCTTTACGGCTGCCCTGGTAAAAACAGGCAGTCATGTTTGATCGTTGTTGAAATCGTACATCAGTTATAAAGGATTCACTTATTTGCTTCCTTTATGAAATTGTTACTGTAGTTTGCACCTGACGAGATACAGCGAAATATGCCAGGCAATAAATTGTGCAATCTGTTGTTTGAGTCTTCTTTGTTCAAGTCCTTTATATATCATTTTCTGTTAGCCCCTTTGATTTACAGGTGCTTGATATTTTGAAATACCCGGTTTTATTCAGCTTGAAGATGTGTCTGCAGACCGCATTGTGTTGGTTTTGACAATGGTATGAACAGCCAACCAATCAGAAAGCAATGACAAACTACTGAATGTAAAATTTATTAGTAAAGGCAGACAACAAATGATAGTGTTGGTTTGTAACGTCCTGTAAAGGGTGTGCAGCTAGCAATTTGTCAGCTGTTTTTATAAGGACCGATCGACCCAGAGCTAAACTGGTTAGGAAAAATATTTATAACTGTGATGAGGGTTGAGCCTGAAACTCTGACTTTTTCAACCTTATTTTCTTCCTCTTCTCCTCAGAGCACACATAGACTGCATCAATCTTGTTGACCAAAGTCAAAGCATATCATAAAAGAATGCCAAGACTTTTCCAGTCAGAGAAAAGAAACCTTGCCCACAAAATGTGGTTACTAAACACTACAAACCTGTCATCTGTATAATGCTGTGACATCTGCTTCATCCTACCCTCATAGATCTGACAATATGTCTCTGTAACTTTCAGGTCCTCATAGGAAAAGGTAATCGACAATGTAGGTATGTCACTTTCTGACACGTTACACATAAAGTGCTGGGAAAAAAAAAATTTTTAGAAAATAAAAAAACAAACATGGATCAGCATAAGTATCATAATGAAGCAGGTTTTGCTGCATTGTTTCATCAAGCATATGCCCTATAACATTCAATTTTAACAAGCATTTTCATGTCTGCCATCCCCAGCCGTTGTATGTCAACTTAAAAGGCAATAGGATTCTGTCTCTCACAAAGGTTTCATCTGGGTATTGACTCGATATCACAATATTTAGGACAAGCCCGTATTAGCAATGTCTCCTACCTCAACAGTCATTGGAGACTTTCCAAACTGACTGTACCCGTTATTATTTGGTTAACTAACCTTCTTGTCTCAGAGAGAGCTGGACACAGCCAGAGAGACAGTCAGAGACAGCAAAGTGACATCATAAATTTATTTTGACCCCACAATGACAATCACTCCAAATAATATCTCCCCAAAAAATGTTATTTAAATTTTTTTTTTAAATTATAAAAAAACAGCTTTCTTTGGGGTCAGAGGGTCAAATATATAAACCTCTAACAAATTATGTAGCAGCGTCCGTGGCTAAGGCGTTGCGAGTCCGACTCGTAAGCCCGCATACCGCGATCGAAACCCACTGCAGGCTGCGTGGATTTTTGTCGTGGTATGGGACGTCGCTGGTCGACCCAGCCTAAAATGGGTACCAGGATGGGCTGTCCTGGGAAAGTAAAGACAGCCGGCATAAAGCTGACCACATTACCCACAGAGTGCTGATGGTCTGTAAAAATATGGGACGCTCTGCCATATGCCCGATGCGCCGAAAGGCGTGAAAAGGGAACTTTACTTTACTTTACTAACAAATTATGCAGAATGATAACTGCCTTGCCAGTTAAACATCCTTTACAAATTATGCAAAATGAAAACTTTGCCTTGCCAGTTAAACACATAAATCCCTCACAAATTATGCAGAATGATAACTCTGCCTTGCCAGTTAAACATATAAATCCCTCACAAATTATGCTGAATGGTAACTCTGCCTTGCCAGTTAAACATATAAATCCCTCACAAATTATGCTGAATGGTAACTCTGCCTTGCCAGTTAAACATATAAATCCCTCACAAATTATGCTGAATGGTAACTCTGCCTTGCCAGTTAAACATATAAATCCCTCACAAATTATGCTGAATGGTAACTCTGCCTTGCCAGTTAAACATATAAATCCCTCACAAATTATGCTGAATGGTAACTCTGCCTTGCCAGTTAAACATATAAATCCCTCACAAATTATGCTGAATGGTAACTCTGCCTTGCCAGTTAAACATATAAATCCCTCACAAATTATGCTGAATGGTAACTCTGCCATGTCAAACTTCATTTTTAAGTTTTAATTTTGAAAAAAAATTTAAAAGAAACCCAAGATGGACTACATCTTCCTATGTTCACCCTCAAAAATGGTGGCTGACACACTGTGTTGTGGTTTATAGCTAGGCTATGACAACTGCTTCTTTTGGGCAACATATCCAGTTTCAGCAAAACCCCCAATTATACTTACCTCTTACATGTGGATGATTTTTTTTTATTCCCTAAAATAGGGCCTTGGAACCCACACAATTCCTGTATGAGATAAACATAGCTATCTGAGAGTTAAAAAACACACAGAGATACACAGACAGACAGTTGTAAAGACGCAAGCAGGCACGCACACATGCAGATACACCCACACACACAATGACCCATGATAAAACCAAGTCAAACTAACCTGTGGGTTGCAAATACGTAACAGATTGATGGACTTGCCACAGGTGACAATCTCCTGGACACTGTCTCTGAGGAAGTGAGGCACCCCTTCTCTATCAGCTCTTTCTGGCATCAAGGTGTAAGCTTTATTCCAGTATGTCTCATCTGTCAAAATGTAATACCAACAAACCACTTGACACACTGCTCTTTAGTAGTTCGCCCTTAAAAAAGTGGTTGGCATCTTGTGTTGTGGTTTCAAGCTAGGCTGCAAAATCTGGACCTTTTTAGCCCAATACATCTGTCTTCAGCCTGTAAATTAAACATCCTAACCTAGTGACAAGACTAGCTAAAAAGGTAAAGTCGGGAGATGTGAACCAGCATCACTGCACACGGTTATAAACCATAAGTGCTCTGTCACCAGTACGGACAGCTGATAAGAAACTATCTGCCAGTGTCGCCGTCCTCACGTAACTCAGTAGCTACGTTCCTCCATTCACCACATTTCCTAGAGGCTGGGTGAACCCCAGGAACCACAAGGTTTCGAACACCGAGTGTGGCTGCAGCAAGTCGCAGCTGGATTTAAAAGCGAGCCTCCTATCGACAGCACTAGCTATGCAGCCCTAAATCCTCGGGCTCACCAGCCCTTGTCTACACTGTCCTAAACAGTGGAAAATACTGGCAGTAGTGACAGTGACATCTGCTTTCAGCTAACACTTAATTCTTTTTCTTAAAGTCTATGCTGTGTGGGGTTGGTAGTCATGTCTATCCACAACCTTCTGTCTTGTGTACTTTCACTCAACTCTGATTCAGATAATACTCCATGCCAAGATGTCAAACTGTCCAGCATCTTTTCCCTTGATCTCCCTCTGTCTCTCCTCCTCTGACACTCCTCTCCTTCAACTTTTCCACAATATACTCTAGTTTTCTCCTTCTCATTACATGATCAAATAATGTAGACTGTCTCTTTCTGATGTGGGCAATTAGTTCTCTTTGTGAATCAGTTTCTTTCAAGATGTCTTCTTCATTGCTCTTTTTATTGTCCAGGGTATTCTCATCATTCGTCTATAAAACTACATCTACGCAGCTTCTAAAAAAAAAGGTTCACTAATTTACCAATTGTCCATGATTCACTTTTGTAGATCAAGATCGGATTTATATAGCTTTTAAGAATTTTCTTTCTCGTCTCAATTGACAAAGATTGTATAAAATACTCTTCATTGTCAGGGTACCCAAGTAATTAAACATATTAACTTACTTGAGCTATTCTACATTCAACTTCTTTAATACATCTTCCATCTGATGCTGTCAGGGTACCCAAGTAATTAAACATTTTAACTTGCTTGAGCTATTCTACATTCAACTTCTTTAATACATCTTCCATCTGATGCTGTCAGGGTACCCAAGTACTTCTTCGTGTTCACCAGCTGTAAACTCCGGCTGAAAGTTCATGTTGTTCGTCCATTTCTGGACTGCAGTCCTGTTCCAGAACCTGAGTGTTTGCGCATGCATCCATTTTACAGATCTGACTCATTTGTATGCAGACAGCTGGTTCCTTGCCTCAGGCAGATTCACTCCGATTTCGAAGAAAGCTCCCAATTAGTTGACTCTTACAACATGCTTTTGGGTAGGCAGTGGGTCTATTCTAGTTTTCCCTATAATAGGGCCCCGGAACCCACACAGGGTACCTAAGTACTTAAACATATCAACTTGCTTGAGCTATTCTACATTTAACTTCTTTAATACATCTTCCATCTAATGTTGTCAGGGTACCTAAGTACTTAAACATATCAACTTGCTTGAGCTATTCTACACTTAACTTCTTTAATACATCTTCCATCTAATGTTGTCAGGGTACCTAAGTACTTAAACATATCAACTTGCTTGAGCTATTCTACATTTAACTTCTTCAATACATCTTCCATCTGATGTTGTCAGGGTACCTAAGTACTTAAACATATCAACTTGCTTGAGATATTCTACATTTAACTTCTTTAATACATCTTCCATCTGATGTTGTCAGGGTACTCAAGTACTTAAACATATCAACTTGCTTGAGCTATTCTACATTCAACTTCTTTAATACATCTTCCATCTGATGTTGTCAGGGTACTCAAGTACTTAAACATATCAACTTGCTTGAGCTATTCTACATTCAACTTCTTTAATACATCTTCCATCTGATGCTGTCAGGGTACCTAAGTACTTAAACATATCAACTTGCTTGAGCTATTCTACATTCAACTTCTTTAATACATCTTCCATCTGATGCTGTCAGGGTACCCAAGTAATTAAACATTTTAACTTGCTTGAGCTATTCTACATTTAACTTCTTTAATACATCTTCCATCTGATGCTGTCAGGGTACCCAAGTACTTCTTCGTGTTCACCAGCTGTAAACTCCGGCTGAAAGTTCATGTTGTTCGTCCATTTCTGGACTGCAGTCCTGTTCCAGAACCTGAGTGTTTGCGCATGCATCCATTTTACAGATCTGACTCATTTGTATGCAGACAGCTGGTTCCTTGCCACAGGCAGATTCACTCCGATTTCGAAGAAAGCTCCCAATTAGTTGACTCTTACAACATGCTTTTGGGTAGGCAGTGGGTCTATTCTAGTTTTCCCTATAATAGGGCCCCGGAACCCACACAGGGTACCTAAGTACTTAAACATATCAACTTGCTTGAGCTATTCTACATTTAACTTCTTTAATACATCTTCCATCTAATGTTGTCAGGGTACCTAAGTACTTAAGCATATCAACTTGCTTGAGCTATTCTACACTTAACTTCTTTAATACATCTTCCATCTAATGTTGTCAGGGTACCTAAGTACTTAAACATATCAACTTGCTTGAGCTATTCTACATTTAACTTCTTCAATACATCTTCCATCTGATGTTGTCAGGGTACCTAAGTACTTAAACATATCAACTTGCTTGAGATATTCTACATTTAACTTCTTTAATACATCTTCCATCTGATGTTGTCAGGGTACTCAAGTACTTAAACATATCAACTTGCTTGAGCTATTCTACATTCAACTTCTTAATACATCTTCCATCTGATGTTGTCAGGGTACTCAAGTACTTAAACATATCAACTTGCTTGAGCTATTCTACATTCAACTTCTTTAATACATCTTCCATCTGATGTTGTCAGGGTACTCAAGTACTTAAACATATCAACTTGCTTGAGCTATTCTACATTCAACTTCTTTAATACATCTTCCATCTGATGCTGTCAGGGTACCTAAGTACTTAAACATATCAACTTGCTTGAGCTATTCTACATTCAACTTCTTTAATACATCTTCCATCTGATGTTGTCAGGGTACTCAAGCACTTAAACATATCAACTTGCTTGAGCTATTCTACATTCAACTTCTTTAATACATCTTCCATCTGATGTTGTCAGGGTACCTAAGTACTTAAACATATCAACTTGCTTGAGCTATTCTACATTCAACTTCTTTAATACATCTTCCATCTGATGTTGTCAGGGTACCTAAGTACTTAAACATATCGACTTGCTTGAGCTATTCTACATTTAACTCTTTAATACATCTTCCATCTGATGTTGTCAGGGTACTCAAGTACTTAAACATATCAACTTGCTTGAGCTATTCTACATTTAACTTCTTTAATACATCTTCCATCTGATGTTGTCAGGGTACTCAAGTACTTAAACATATCAACTTGCTTGAGCTATTCTACATTTAACTCTTTAATACATCTTCCATCTGATGTTGTCAGGGTACTCAGGGTACTGTTTGAAATTTTTTTTTAGGGCTTGGTGGTAGAGGGCAGCAAACTGAAGTCCTATCTGTTCTGGACCTGGTACCTGAGAGGGTTAGGGTAGAGAGAGAGAGTCATGAAGAGAGAGGAAGACACATGCTGAGGTAGGCTGGGAGAGACAGTGTAAAGATGGACAGATGAAGGTAGAGAAAAGAAGGAAAAGAAGTCTGGGGAAGGAGGAAAAAATGAGAGGGAGGGATGGAGACATGATGAGGAAAAGTGGGGAAGGGACAGCAAAAGACAGAGAGGGAGACAAATACAGAAAGAGGGAATGCAGATACAGAGATGGGCAGATGAAAAGAGAAGGAAAAAGGGAACTAAACAGAGATATGGAAGGAGGAAAATATGACAAAGAGTTGAAAGAATTGAGACAGAGGGAGAGAGAAGGGACAGGGTGAGAAGCAGATGCAAGCAGAGAGAGATGTAGACATAAAGGAGAGAGAGACAAAGGGACAGCACAGAGAGGCAAGCAGACAGAGGGAGAGAACCAAAGAAAGAGAAAAAAGGCAGAGCAGGAGAATGGGAGGGAGGTATACAAAGAGGAAGTGATGAAGGGAGGCAAACAGACATAAAGCAAGAGAGAGAGAGAGAGAGAGAGAGAGAGAGAGAGAGAGAGAGAGAGAGAGAGAGAGAGAGAGAGAGGTGGGTAAGGAAGGCAGTGACAAACACAGATTAAGAGAGAGGGGCAGGAAGGGAGACAAGATACATCAAAGAAAAAAAAAAAAGCCACCTACTCCCCCCCCCCCCCAAAAAAAAAACACAATTTCAAGTGTAGTGGACACAACCACTAGGAAAAGATAGTTATGGGGCAAAAAAATAGGTAAATGAACCAGTAAAAAAAATGGGGGGGGGGGGGGAGAATGAGAGAGGGGAGCGGGTAAGGAAATCTAGAGAAAATGAAAAGACAGGATGGAGAGGAGACAAAGAAGAGATGGGACAGGAGAAGGGGCAAGGAAAGGAAGAGAGGAAGAATGGAGAGAGAAAGGAGAACAGTAGAAGATCAAAGGAAAGAGAAGGGGTGAGAGAAGAAAGGTAAGACACGGTTGTGGGGGTGGGGGTGTAAGAACAATGAGTGCCAAAAATAGAATTAGGAAATCTCTAAGTGAGGCCACTTTCCGGTTCCTACCCTCTCCCAATGTGAATGCGGCTGGCCATGGTCCAAAAACAACAGTGCTAACCCCTACTGCCCCTTGCTTGCCCTATCTGTGTGTGACAACAATAATTCAATTTCTTACACTTAAGGCTGGTGACCTGAGAGCCAAGGTCATTTTATGAAGAAAAAAAAAAGTCCAGGGGATCCCAACCCACCACTGGTGGAAAATAGAGAAGTTTACCCACACACATAAATAGGTCAGACACATAAATAGGTCAAGGC